GAAGGGAAGTTATAGAATTCGGGAAACTTCATTTTTTTTTCATTATTTATATATTTCATGATCAAATTCCATAGGCTTCTTTGTTTCGCCTCGCAGCGCTTAGAATGTTAACAATTATCGTTAGAACTCTTCGGGGGACATTCAGAACTCTTGAGAGAACTGCCGATTATTGAAAAAAAATTTTACCCCTGTGGAACTTAGAAAATTTTCGGATCCGTAACTTCAATCGCCCAGAACTTTTTTGTTTCGCCTCGCAGCGCTTGGATTTATAATAATTATCGTTAGAACTCTTCCGGGGGCCATCAGAACTGTTGACAGAACTGTCGATTGCCGAATAGAATTTTTTACTCTGTGGGACTTAGAAAATTTTCGAATATGAAACTTCAACAATTATCAAATTTGTGAAAAATAAAATTTCTATTCAGAGTTCCAGTGGCCCCCCAAATAGTTCTATAAATTTTTCTTATGACTACTTTTTATTAGTCTAATATTTCGGCTGTATTACGGCGCAAAATTGAAAATGTGAAGTTGGCCCCCAAAAAGAAAAAATCCGTGCGTAGAAAACAGAACTATTGATAAAACTTACATAGAACTTCAGAACTATGTGGGGGCAACTAGAACTCTTGTTATTTTTTATTTTTCCACTTTGGGGGGCTAACTTCCTGAACCCAACTTTCTTCCATCACTGTATATACTGGCTTCTCAAACCAAGAACTCGATGACCAAATTCTAGTATTGTCATATAATAGAAATAAATATTTTTTCTATATATACTTGTACTTTGATCTTAACAAATGGACGGATTAAAATTATATTTGTATGTTATATGTGTGTCTACGCATGCACACAAAATTAAATTTGTTCTCTGTTCAAATTAAGCAAAAAAAATGTCTTACTAGAAAATATTTATGTAAGAAATCTTTTGCTAAATTTGAAGAAACAGTAATTTTAATGTACGTATATTTTTTGTGCTAGAAATATCTTCAGGAAATCCTACGAATAACTATTTATTATCGATCTGTATCGTTCGGATCATTTTGATCAAAATGGGATGTCCTGCGGAGATCGTACATAAGATATCCACAGGACATGCTACACGGGATACCCTCAGGTAATCCTACGGATAACGTTTTGCTCTGGATCAAACTGGGACCATTTCGATCAAATTGGGATGTCCTGGGGAGATCTTTGCTATGTGGGAACGTACATAAAAAATTATTTATTATTTTTTTATTATTTTTCTTGAAATATATCAATATTTTATTATTTTACCTTTTTTTTTTAGATAATTTCTATTTTGTACATAATTTCTATTCTGTATATTGCAATGAAATATCATAAAAAGATATACAAATATTCCAAAAATATCTTGAGATATATCAATATTTTAGTTTTTTTTTTTTAATATGTACACCAGTGATAAAATTTTATTACATTGTAATTTAAGTAAGGAAGTTATTTGAAAGGAAGGAAGACGAGAGAAAAAAACTTTAATTCATACATTCTGATTCTCGAATAATAAGATCGATGTATACATTTCTCGTACACTTTAGTATTTCGAATCTGAGATCAGTATACATTTTATGTCTTAATGCAGACGAATCAAGTTTCTATACGAAACATTGAAAATTTCGCACTAACAACCAGCGGTTGCTCTATTAGCCTTTTTCATATATATTGATATGATATTATCACACGAGCCTCATATGGAAATTCTCTTATATTGATTTTCAAATGTATTTATTATTAAAGAACTTAAATGGTTTTATACGGTTCGTACGACTTCCCACCCATTATTATAATTTCGGTTATCTTGTTTTCTTTTATCTTTTGCCATTTTCATCGGTTCGCGAATCTTATCGATTGAGTCTCGCGTAAAGATGCGAACACTACGTGTTACCGCCACCGTGCCGGGACGTGACAATAGTCTTCTATTGGGATTCTTCTCGTCATGGTAACCATGGGAACTAAAGTATAAACATAGTGTATCTAAACCAGTTATAACATAACCCATAACGATTCTATTTTAACCAGTATTGCTCAGTGTAAGAAAAAGTTATTTATTATAATTTCAATAATACTTGACGTTTTTAATTAACTTCTGTTTTTTCACTACATTATTCAGATAGCCAAATGTTAACAATTTTGGTAATTTGATCAAATTTGCTGTCAATCTGCTAATATTGCTAATATTTTTTTTACTGAATACTTTATTCGTAAATCGAATGAAATGTTTCTATTATTTCTATACTAAATTAATCATAAGAGCTAATATTAAATGTGCTACAGGAATATTTAATATGAGATTCAAGATATCTGTACAAGAAAATAATAGTCATAAACGTTTACTTACTTGCGTCGCTTGGAATTCGACAGAAGAACTTTATTCGTGTGGGTAAGTAAACATAAAAATTATATTTATACGTAAGATCTGATTCTAAAAGGAGAATAGTATTCTACAATATAATGAGTAAATAAATTTAATAACATGACAAAATTAAATTACTTAGTTCTAAATTAAAACTAAATTTTTAACTTCTAAACTTCTAAAATAAATTATAAATTTAAATTTAGTAATGTTTATATATTGATAAAAGATTGAAATAGACATGTTACAGTAATTGCAATAAGTATACAATCTTTAAAAAAAAAACAAATATAAAATAAATAAAAGTTTAACTTGAGTATAATATTTACTATTTAATATGATTGTATCATAATAAAAATATTTTATAAGATAATTAATATTTTGTTACATAAAATATATTTTTAAATTAAACTATAAAAGCTATTGATTTAATAACACATACACATAGGAATGTAATTTGATAGGAAAAAAAAACAAAGAGTTTGCTCAATAATGAAAATCTCATTTTTGCACTTACATACAATATTGCTGAAAATAATACTATTTTAAACTATGTTTAGAGACAATTGTCGCAAATGTTTTTGGAATATCTCAATGGTATCAGAAATACCAATGATAATTATTGAATAGTATCAGAATAGAATAGAAACTCTCATGAAATATACAGAGTGGTCTACAGAATTGGACCCCGATTTCTAGCACTTGTCCTGTTGAACATGGAAAAAAATGGTCAAGGAAAAAGTTAAATGGCATAACATGAAAAATTTTTCTATGGATTTATTTTCTTTATTAGTGCGACAATGTATGCACTAGAAAAGTGCAATTGTACTTTTTTTTAAATGAAATATGTATCTTTTTTTGCATAAATAGGTTCTTCTGAATAGTCTCTGTATAAAAATATTAGGATAAGATGTTCGAAAAATTAATATTTCACGAAATATTTGACATTTTTGAGTGAGGTATATGTTTTATTCAAGGATATTTAAACGTTTCACTGTATTTACAGTTATGGATTTTGAGTACAAACACTTGAGGACGTGTTGCTTTACACGTCCTCAAGTGTTTATACTCAAAAAAGCAGTACTATCAAAAAATTAACTTTTTAAAAAAAAGTTTTAAAAAAGGCGCCACGTACACGCTCTTGTCACAACTAAAACAAAATAGTATTGTTTTACTTTTCAAAAAAATTGTCGTATATGTGCCGGTTATTATGAAAGTCTAAGTCATTATTATGAAAGGCCTAAGTCATATATTTCTCGTTTCGAGATATTCAAACTTTTGCGTTTGACTATATTAAAAATATTTTTCCATCATGGTTTAAAATTTATCAAAAATTATAATGTTCTCCTGATGTTAAATTTATCTAACATCATTAAATTTTATAAATAACTTGCACGAAACTGTGTGTTTTTAACCGTTGAATAACTTATGCCACTTTCAAAATTAATAGTAGTCCTAATTGATGATTTACGATAACAAAAAATTAATAAATTTAATTGAAAAAATTACTTAAAAAGAAAGAAATTTATTTACTTTTAGAATTGTATTAACTATTTTAATTGTATTAATTATTTTTTAAAATTATTATTTTATCCGTTTCCATTTCTTGCAAACATTATTTCGTGGCTTATACTAAGTCTATGAAACAACGATCAAAATAACAATTAGTAATTTAATGTTTCGCAAAATTATTACGGCAATTTAATTATATTAAGCATTATTTACATTATTGATATTACATTTATAAATAAATATGAAATATTTTTGTAAAGTTAAATTTACCTGAGTCGCTGTCTGATGACATAATAGAAAAATATGTTGAAAATTATGATAATGTTACTTTTTCTGTCGCAATGTTAGAAAAAAATGACTTATGCCACTATCAAAATAAGCATACAATTACGTAATAACTTCGTATAG